GTTTGACAAATTATCAGCATGCACACAACAGCAAAGATCATATTAACTGTGCAAAAGCACACCAAATGCAAACTTTTACTTTTCAATAAAAAGCTGTTTGTATCACTGAAAGCTCTGTTATTGTATTTTTTCTTTTAAGACAAAAGATGTTTATGTATGAGTTGCTTTCCTAAATTAAAACCTGTTTTCCAGTTTAATTGCAGTGTTGGCACTTTGCAATACATAAGTGGGTTTTGGGTTGCAGTCTGGGCACTTGGTCTCTAAACGGTTTGCTATCACTGCTCAGGTACAATCATGGGTATCTCAAAAAAAGTACTTTATAAATGTGTGTGTTATATGTGTAAGAATATTCAAAATATAAAATTTTATCAAATCTTTTTATACTATACTTTTTATACTTAGACATTCTCTTTCTTTCTTTCTTCTTTTTTTTTTTTTGAGATAGGGTCTCAATCCTCCTGCTTCCTGAGTGCTGAGATTATTTGGTTTAGATATTCTTTTATAGCTGTTAATCATTATTACTAAAACCCTGACCAAGACTTAAAAATTCCCTGATGAAAACGAATTACTAATAGTTGCATAGAAAACCTAGGAAATGAAAAATAATTATGTACATGTATCAACTCATGAGGAATGTAATAATTATATATGACAAACATGTACTAGTAAAAATAAAAATTAAAAGAGAAAAGTCAAATAACTCTGGATAAAACAAAAACCCATACCTAGAAGGAAAAGTAACCACAATTCAATACTTAGTTTGGCTGTAATAATTTTTTACATAGTCATAACAATGTAAATTATGGATATCAATCTAAGCAAAATTCTAACTACAAAGAGAGGGTGAGGGTTAAAAAAGAGATACATATAGGATAACAAAAGTGAAATGAAATAGGGCTACATCCTTATCTAGTGGCACATCAATAAAAATCCTTAAATTTTAAAAATCTAGAAGGAGCACTATAAGCATATTACTTAGAAATATGAATGTTAATAACAAAAGATAAAACTATAGAAAGTTCAAACACTCTTTTGAGGAGGGAGAAATAAAGGAGTTTGCAAAGCACTTCTGTTTTTAAATTATAAACATTGTACACATGTACTTATTTGTTTTTGTTTTTGTTTTTTGGTACTGGGGATCGAACTTGGGACCTTGCACTTGCGAGGCAGGTGGCGGAACCACTGAGCTAAATCCCCGGCCCCCTGTTTTTTAAATTTTTATTAGTACATGTTTGTAATACATAATAATTACATTCATCACACAGAAGGTACATGTACATAATACATTTCAATTCTTTTTCCCCCTTCCCACCCTATACACATCTATTTATGTGTTTAAAGTATGTACATATATAATCTTGATAAAAATAGAAATGTAAAAAAGAAAACAATCCTTGACAATTTCCCTCACAAAGCCACCTCTTCATATACAACAGAAGTATATGGATATATCTTGGGCTCTCATATTGCATATGTAAATACACATACTATTTCAGACTTCAAGAATATCTTAAGAGAAACAGGCCTAGATTTTCTTCTATCCAGGAGAATAACCATTGCTCACAAACCTTCACTCACACTGACCCTGAGAGATGATATCTCAGATGTAACAGATAATCAATCACAATGTCTTCTAAAGAAAACTGCCACTCCCACAATCCTAATAAAGGAACACCCTTTGGCAGTCTACTCCCTAGAGTTGGCTGATTAGAACAGGGGCTGCCTAAAAGTATTATCAAATAAATACAAATCTTGATACAATGTTTTCTACATGCAACAATGACATAAAGGCCTATCATAACAATTAACAAAAACAGACACATATTAAAATCCAAAAGTAAATATGATCACATTAAAAATATTTTAGCTGAGTGTGGTGGCACATATCTGTAATCCCAACATTTAGGAATCTGAGGCCAAAGAATCCTTGTGAGTTCAAGGCCAGCCTGGGCTACATGGCAAAACCCTATCTTAAAAAACCAAAAACACAATAAAACTTGACATATATAAATATCTATAATAACACTACTCATTGTTCATGTATCATCAATTCTTTTTAATTTGTTCATGTAATTTTAATTAGGGATAAAAAAGGTGGAGTTTATACCTAA